TCTGTCCCCAGCAGAAAGAAATTATGATGTTGGCAATCGTGAACTATTGGCAGTCAAGTTGGCCCTAGAAGAGTGGCGACATTGGCTGGAGGGGGCCAAACAACCTTTCATCATCCTCACTGACCACAAGAATCTTGAGTACATCAAGACTGCCAAAAGACTTAACCCACACCAGGCCAGGTGGGCCCTTTTCTTCTGCCGCTTTAATTTTTGTCTCTCTTACAGACCCGGGACCAAAAACACCAAACCTGATGTTCTTTCTAGAGTCTATGAGTCTGACCCRACCAGTGGCAACCAGGGAGAGTTCATCCTGCCGGATGCTATCCACCTGGCCATCACCCAAGTCGAGAGGGAAGTCAGGGAGGCCCACCAGAACTTTCCCCCTCCCATGGATTGCCCAGATGGTAAGCTCTTTGTTCCTGCTCACCTGGTTACTAAAGTCTTGGAACTATGTCACTCCTCACGTCTGTTTTGCCGTCCGGGAATAACAAAGATATTACAACTAGTTAGCTCCCAGTTCTGGTGGGGTTCCTTGGAAAAGGACGTTAGGYWRTTCGTTGGGTCCTGCACCCAATGCTCCCTGGCCAAATCCTCTCGACGTCCTCCGGCGGGTCTCCTGAGACCACTCCCCATTCCACCTCGGCCCTGGTCYCACATCTGCATGGACTTTGTAACCGGATTACTTCCGTCTGAGGGTAAGACTGTGATATTAACCATTGTTGACAGATTCTCCAAGATGGTGCATCTTGCTGCCTTACCCAAACTCCCTACGTCCTTGGAACTGAGTCATGTTTTCGTGAGAGAAGTATTCAGACTTCATGGATTTCCTAAAGACATTGTTTCGGACCAAGTTCCACGGTTTGTCTCAAAGTTTTGGAAAGAGTTTTGTTCTATGTTGAGAATAACCCTCAGTCTGTCTTCAGGATTTCACCCTCAGACGGATGGCCAGACTGAAAGGGCCAATCAGGAGTTGGAGACCCGCCTACCGCCTACATATCCTGTGTGAGGACAACCCCACTAAATGGGCTGAGAACCTCTCCCTGGTAGAACACTCCATCAACGCCTTACCATCAAGTGCCACTGGTCTAGCCCCTTTTTACATCATATTTGGACATCAACCAGCGGTGTTCACCACTCATGAGCGTGCTGCCCAGGTGCCATCTGCTCATCGGGCCGCCCTCCGCTGCCAAAGAGTTTGGAGAGCAGCCAGGAAAGAGCTCCTCAAGTCCTCCATTATTGC